ACAGTTCTCACAGTTCTCAATACATGGATAGATTTATACATATAGATGTAAATGTGTTTGTAGACATATCTCTATATCTATATCTATATCTATATTATATCTATATATCTATATATACATCTATATCTATATCTGTATCGATATCTATAACAGACATAGATATGAATGCAGATTCAGACCCTAGGTTTTCAACTGAGAGAGTCTGGGAGCAGCAACATGCTAATAATGAGCTCAGCTGGTGTCCAGATCGTGGCTTTTTTTTTTTTAAGATTTTATTGGGGAATTGGGGAAGGGGAACAGCCAAGTTGTTGTTCTTCAATATTAGTTGTGGAGGGCGCAGCGAGCTCAGTTCCAAGTCCAGTCGCCATCTGGCCACCCGTCAGTAGTTTGCAGCCGCTCAGCTCAAGGTGCCATGTTCAATCTTAGTTGCGGGTGGGCGCAGCCCAACATTCCATGTGGGAGTCGAACCGGCAACATTATTAGGAGCACGTGCTCTCACCAGCTGAGCCATCCTGCTCAGCTCTGGAGCAGCTCACTGGCCCATGTGGGACTCGAACCAGCCACTCTGTTGCTCAGAGCTCGTGCTCTTAACCAACTGAGCCACTTGGCCAGCCCCAGATCTTGGCTTCTAAATGCCATCCTCTGCTAAAAGAACTAGGACTCCTTGGAGAAATGGCTGACGTCAGGGCTGGGCCTAGATGGGGACAATTTGAGATGGAATATCTTTTTGTACCAAAAAACAAGGAATTGCTCAAAGAATGATGGGAACATATTACAGGGTACAAAAGCCAGCTTGAAGGCACCTCCATTAATCAAATCTGGGAAAACTTGAGCATCATAACATACAAAGACGGTAATGGAATAAAATAGGGATTCATGAATCTGCTTATATGTCTAAACAATGAAGAAATTGAAATTTTGATGCAGAAAAGGATATAAACATACCTGCAAAGTAACTTCCCTCAAAATACTGATAAATCCCAAATGGAAAGTGAGTAATTTACAGTGGAAAAGCCTGGCAGACATCACCTTAACCAATAGATCAATGTGAACAACTCACAATGGGATAGATAAAAAATTTCGTTCCATTTAATAAGATGAAATGACAAAAATGTAAAATCACTTTTGTTACGTTCCTGAAAAATTTGCATAAGATGAATCTAATTGAGGATACATCAGATAAACTCAAACTGAGGCTTATGCCACAAAATATTCTTCAAAAGTGTCAATGTCATGAAAGTCAAGGAAAGATGGAGGGTTGTATTAGACTGAAGAAGATTAAAGATACATGACAAAATGTAACGTGTGGTTCTGCACTGAATCCTTTTGCTATAAAGGATACTATTAGGACAATTGGAAACACTTGAATGGAGTCTGAGGATTAGATACTAGAAATGTATCAATGGTAATTTTCCAACTTTGATGGTTGTGTTGTAGTATTTATGTAGGAAAAAACTCCCTGGTTATAGGAAATATACATCTAGGGGTGAATATGGAGCATCAGGTGACAACTTACTGTTAATGATTCAGGAAAAAAAATATTTTCACTGTGATTCCCAGTTTTCTATAAATTTGTGATCAAATAAATTTAAAAATAAATAAAGCAGTTAATTTTTATTATAATAGCAATGCATTTTTCTTTCAAGCCATTTTTTTTCTTTCAACCTTGGTAATGGCCATAGTTACAGTCTTGAAGTTATCTATTAAACATTTCAAGGGCCGGCCGAGTGGC